CGAAATAGAGGATACCCGCGAGACGAATTCTAATAAATACGTTGCTCGAATACTCGATATAATTCACTTTTATTCGCGCAGCACGGAAAATTGCTTCCTAGTTAATATAACGGAGCAAGATATCAACTAGAAAGGAATTGTTCCTACTTTTAATGCATTTACAATAATTTAACCTCTTAACGAGCACGCTCGAATTAACTCGAGCGGACGATCCTGGCTGAAATGTGCACACTCGAGTTAACTCGAGCACCGTCGCATTTTATGTTACCATAATGTACACGCTCGAATAAACACGGACAATGAAAAATAATCTGAAGAAAGTCGCGATTCTACCAAAGAAAAATTATTCCTTTTCCATTAATATTATTTGACTTTTCCATCGCTTTTCCAATCTTTTCTGAGCCTAAAATATCGTCGTATTTATTATACAAGCATACATTGAGATAAATAGATTTCCAGGATCAAAACAGAAACTGATGTTTCTTTTTTTAAATCGGAAGAATCCACGTTTTGTTTTTAATAGTAACGGCTTTAGATCATTGAACGAATAGAGAAATAGTGGTTCTTGTTATAGCTTCTCGGTACTTCTCGAGTATGGTTGCGTGAAATTCACAAAAGGCCACGCGAGGGCGTTAACCAAGTGCATCCATGGTTCGCCTATTTTTACGATTTCACGCTGGCCGCGAGCGGCAAAAGCTTCGATTATGCGAATTATAACAGTATTCTGGCCTCGTCGACTTCCAGCACCTCGTTCAACGAGTCTCCGATCGAAGGAAAGCAAAGTGCAACCTTTCTAAAGATTTTTCAAACGATCTATCGACATCAATGTTTGTTGATTTCACAACGCCCGTTTCGATCCTTTACAAAAATCTATACAGCGTTTAGAAAACGAATAATCTGAAGAAAGGCAGGCTGATATATGAAAGCAAAATATTAGAGCAGATAAAATTAGAAAACAGTGGTGGAAGGGGTTAAAGTTTGGATGATCGATCGTCGTTGGCCGTCTAATTCGAAAGGGTCGGCGGGCCCGTGAGCGAGATAACGGTGGCTGAAATTACAGGAAAAGTCATCGATGCTTGGGAAACTCCGACGGCGTTTCGCTTCCGTGTACCAGTTCCGAATCGGCTTAAAGAGAAGTTCGAAATTAATGCGCCGTTGACTTTAACTCGTTCCGGGAAGAAATTGAAAAGAGAATCGACTTTGTCCCTCGTCCTTCGATCCTTTCTTTATTAATTCGCCGGAACCCGGGGGCCGGGTTTTACAGAAAACTATAATTAAAAGTCGAGTTTCTCATTTTTTAATTCGCTGTTCCCCCGGATTAATCGTACCTGCTAGGGGGCGGTTTATCATCCTCCGTGCTGCTCGATTAATCGATACGTAGCGAAATTGCTCCCTCGCAATTAAGGCCGAAACTATTCGAATATTATTACTCGGAACATTATTATTCGAATATCACTATTCCAATTTTATCGTACGAATTGCAATATCGAAATCCATTCCATCGGTTCCGATATAAAATTATTTTCAAAGTTATTTCGCGAAACGGTGCTCGAAGCAAGGGTACTCGTTTCTCGCGGATAATATCAGGCTTCCAAAATCGATCGTGGTCAAAGGGTTAAGGAAGTAAACATCGCGGAAAGGGTTGATTCGAGGAGGGAAAATTGTTGTTGGGAGGCCTGTTGGGGGGCACGGGAGGTTACCAGTGGTCCAGAGTTAGAGGAGACCCCCCCTTGGCGTTTCCACGGCCGACCAGGTTGGATCTAGTTTTAATTAAGTCCATGTCGGGGATAATTAGAGCCGGGGACAATCACGCTCGTGGCAGTCGGCGTCGTATCTGGGGTCGGATCGAACACGGTTGTCCCATCGGGCCGGCCGGGTTAACCCGATTTCCCAATTCGATCCGGATTTCCAAAAGGTCACGGCGCTCTTCTGCGTCCCGAGGAGCAGCAACGGGCATACTCGCCGAGGCGAAAGGTACTCTAATCCGATCCGTAAACACAATAGAAAGTATCTCGGGGAATCTAGGCTACCCGTACGGACGAGTCTCTCTCGCGCACGCGCGCTACGTGCGTGGTTCTCGCGTGCACCGAGACCTAAATACCGAGAGCTACCCTCCGGCTTCGACAAAAACGCTCGACATCCGGTTACTTCCTGGAGCACGACCTTTCGACGCGCCATCGACGTTTCTTCGCCCAGGAACCGACCACCCACGACTCGAGCAGACACTCTAACCGCGAACCCTCCAGCGAATCTTCCCTCTTTCTTCCTTTTATCAAACACAGCTGTTCGAGGCATAAAATAATTAGATAAATAATCTATCTATAAAATATACGATCTTGAGAGGAAATTACAAGTTGCGATTTTATTTACACATAAGATCCCCAGAAGGTTGGGTAAAATTGGCACGTAGATTAGGGGTGTGTGTGTGTGTCGGCGGAGAAATTGGAGGAAGCGGGAAAAGAGAAAAAAGAAATATGGCGTCGGAGAAGAATTTGACGGAGCAAGGTGAAAGGGGTTGACAAGGATGAAAGCGACCCCGGAGGACGAAATTGGGAAGATGGCGGAAGGGCGGAGGATGGGATCGTAATTTCGCGTGAATTCGCGCCTTGTCGGTTATTCGCGTATTGTACCCTCAGCGTTTTCCGATACGCGGAATTTATTGATTCCCACGATCCACCGACGAGCTCCATGGAGGCTCCTCTAGCCCGAGGGGAATTTTAAAACCGCACTGGAGCGTGCGGCCTAAACTCTCTGCCTTAGATATTGCACCGCCATCCTCGTTCCGAGAGACGTTGCCCGGTTTAAACTCGAAAATCATGATCCCGGAGCGAGCACAGAATCTCGTCTAAAAAGGTAATCACGGATCGAGAGGTCGGTTTTTACCCGCCCCTCCAAACCCCGTAAAACTTTTACCCGTACAAAAGATTAGCGAATTTCTGTGCCTTAACGACGGGTATAAATACACGGTAAAATACAATTCCGCTCCGGAAATAAACGAATTGGATGACCGACGAACCACTCGTTTAAACGCATTCGTTTTCGACCTCAAATTTAGAGGATAAAGATAATCGAGTAATGAAAATAAATATTTGGCAAAACTATCCTCGTCTGGCGAATAAAAGTTCATATTGGTCGAAGCTTCGTATAGTCGATCGAGTATTTATTGACGTTCGGTTCTCGTGTGTAGGAATCCTTCGAAAAGAGAAATTAATACTCCGCAAACGCAACAAATACGAATAAAATTGTAAGATCGGGTGTTCGCTAAAAATATCCACGCCATATTTACTATAAAGATTATAAAAGAAAAGAATTTTGTAAAGCAATTTTCCAGGCTTCTTTGGATCTTTGCAAAGACCCTTCCAATTTGTTCTGAATTTTGTAACAAAGTCGAAACCCAGTAATATTGTTTCCACGACAAATATAGTTTTCGTTGCACGGAAAATAATTTTCTTTGCAACACACTGGAAGCTTTGAAAAGAGTTTGGAGGCCCACGAGTGGCAATTTCGCGTGTCTCTTTGGATCTTTGTCAAGAGCGGAGCGGCTCTCCCAATTTGTCCCGGACTTTGGACGCTGATGAAACGCATTTCTGTCGCCTGTCTGCGCGTACTGTAACCGAATTAAAAGTTAAGCAACCGATTTACGAGATAAACAAGGTTGCGATAGCGTGTGTCGCCCTTCATTAGAAGGATAACGACGGCTAACCGGATGTCACTGGCTCGCGCCGAGAGATCCGCCAAATCAGCTTTCCGATTCGCCGTTAATGGGAACTTCATCAGCGTTGCAGCCGATGAAAGTTGAATGTCGATATTTGACTTTCACGATTTTACGAACCCGGTATCGATAATTATGCTAATAGATACAAGCGGTTCGCGTTAATCGTTCGCGGATAATGCGACCTGGAACTTCTTCTCCCCCCGTCGGTGTTTGCCCAGAAACTTTCTTTTCTTCGAACTTTTTCGGATACCTTTGCTACCGGACTCCGTCCATTGGCAGCCACTGAAAAGCTTCTGGTTCGGAGTTCCCTATTCTCTTTCGAGCTTTCGAGTCCTGCATTCTATTTTAAGAAACGCGTACTTTATGTAAGAGCGCACTCGTCGTTCGTTCGATCGCTAAACATTTCCCTGAATGAGATATTTTAATATTCTTCCCCTCATTGACAAATTTAAAAGAAAAAGAATGTAAATACATCACCCTCAAAGGGTCGTAACTTCTTCTTCTCTTATCGAATTCGAAATACAACCGGTCGGAATTGTTAGGGAAAAAATGTATGCTCAAATTGGTAGAAACACATTTGTCTAGCGACCGGAGCTCGAAAGACGAAAAACGATTGCTTCCTGTTCCTTTCCTGGCCTCGAGATTCAACTGTCCGTTAGACGTCTCGGTCGTTTTCTTTCCTTCCCCCTTTTCCCGAGGCTTTTTCGCAAGAAAGGAGAAGCAGAATAGCGAACACCCAGCCACGATCGATAACCAGCGTACGGACAGGGGGGAGTCGTCGATTTAATAGTAATTACCAGCTTTCATCGTTGTTCCCGAGACAAACGATCGTTGACACGGTAGGGAGCAACCATTCGTTCGCGTCACACTTCTCCGCCGTTGGAATTTCTTATTTCCTTTCCCGACGTCTATACTTAACCGTCCACCGTCGAGTCATAGGCGAGTAACCATCGAATTGCCACGTAAAAATGCTCCGCTGGTTCCGTCGACTTGCAAATTAAAGACGACGCCGCGTCGATGTTTCCGGCTTGTCGATCTTCGCGGAAGAACGGTCATCCACTTGTCTCGAACCGTACGATACCGATCGTTGGACAAATTCCCCCTAAAAGACACTACGAGCCTCGAACAATTGCAAACAAAATTCAAAGGTCTGTGTGTTTGTGACTTTTCTGTAACTCGTATTATCTTTGTTCCGTATCGGTTCGAGCGCTAGTTGGACGCAAGATCAGGCACTTTTTCGTCGCTGTACACGTTTACTGACGGATTCGGATTGTGTGTGTTTCAGGGAGAGCACGTGAGGCGTCCCAAACGTCGAGGGAAGTCACGATCGACGAGCACGTCCGTACTGATGCGAGCGTAAATGCTTCGAGCACCTTCGGCGTGGAAATATTCGTCCGATTGATAGAGGCCCGGGTCGGTTTGACTTCGAGAACGAGCCTAACAATTGACCTCCCATCCACTGACACCCGTAAGATATCCCACGGAATAATATTTGCGAACCAAAGTGTACACTTTTCCTGCAGAAATTATTTGCTCAACAATTTATTCGGATAATAGACAAGCAATTTTTATCCAGATGAGAATGTTAAGGTTGAAAGATAATATGGAAGAAAAAAATATAATGGACATACATTGCAAATGTGGGGAATGCGTAATCAGCGTGGAATGAGATTCCACCGTAAAAAAAAGAATTGGAAAGTCCTAATAATCCTTGGAAACGTGTCGCGCGTCGGAAGGATTAAAAGATTCGAAACGCCATCGTTCCCCATTACTCCCTTTAGGTTTCCCGGAAACCGTTCGAACAAAGTAGCCTAGCAGGAAGCGTAAATTGCCGTGTCTCGAACCTGTTGCAATTTTTAAACGTAATTTCCGCGCGCGGTCTGGCCGGCTCGAAGGATAATTGATTTGTCCGGACATCGTGAGAACGTGGAAAGTATCAGTCTTGCTTCTCGTGCTGTTCCATATGGAAATGAAGTATCTTGATTCTAAAATTACAGTTTATCGCCGATTAACCCCCGCGTTCCGAGAATTCTCTTCGACATGGACGACCGGCATCTAGGAGGCAATTTTCTGGCATCTATTTTGAGAATCGAAAGTGGTCACGGTTACTTGATCAAAATAATATTATTTATTGGCTGGCTAAAAATTTCGCGCGAACCACAACGAGAATTTTTTTTCCATATTTCCTTCGAACCGAACGATCTAGTCCGGAGGGCGAATTCGTGCCACTGGTGACAAATTGCTAGCGTCAGGGACGAATGTACCAAAGTCGTTAGCCTTCTGGTGTGTCTGACAAAGCGCGGGGGTGTCTTCGCGGCGGGTCCACGCAGAGAAGTTCCCATTCCGATCGTAGAAAAGCAGACTCCGGAGGCATTGTTGGAGGCACGATTCAGGATAGAAGGGACTGTGCAGGTTCTTGGAAGGCTAACGACGCCCCCGTCCAGTCGAACGAAAGACAAAAGGCACCCAAAGTCCCCCCTGGAAAGCGAATCTCCGTTGATCGGGGACAAACAAAGACCTCCGGGTGTCCTGACTCAATCTTCTAATTGTTCCCCCGTTTAAACCGCGATCCTTGGGCGACGGTCCACGGTCCCTCGATCCTCCTGACGTTGATCCGATGTTCCAGTGGCGGTGGGATCACGGTGAGCCGCAGCGACAACGGGGTCCAGGCTGTTCCAAACGTTGGCGACGCTACCAGACTCGCGCATGCTTCAGCAACGAGGCGGTTCATCCACGACACCTCCCGCGACGTCATCGTCCAACATGTTCCCCCAACAGTATTGTCTACGATGGAAGTACCATCACAGCAATCTACAGACCATGTTCTCACAGCTGCTGGAGCGGCAAGCGTACTGCGACGTCACTCTGGCCTGCGAGGGCAAGACTCTGAGAGCGCACAAGGTATAGTCCTATCAATTTTGCGTCGTTTAGACAGAGGATCGTGAAAGATAATGTCAATTACGATTTGAATCGACTAGACTATAACGCGAAATTTAATCCAGAAAAGTTATCGAAACGATGCAAGAGGCAATGTTAGATAAGAAGGTGCAACTGCAGCGGCATTACGAATCGTCCGTGCCTGTGGTTGGTGTAATTGGCGCCACGACGCCTTTAAGGGCCGTTACTTTTACAACGCGGATCGCTAATCGGTGAAACTTTAACGAAGCCTCCGTGGAGCGCAAGCAAATTAGATTACAGATTTCGCTCGGCGAAGGTTTACATCGATTGGCCCCTTCATTTTCTACGACGCATCTTCCAGACTATTTTCAGCGAATAATCAGCGAAGCTGACGACGCTCGTGCCACGAAAGGACCGAACAGAACGATCTCGATTTTATCTTTTTTTTTTTTTTTTTTTAAATTAAAAAATTCCAGACTGTTCATCATCGTCGAGCGAAAAATATTCATGAAAATCAAATCAAAATCCGAAAAACCCCCGAAGTACAGATTTCCATAAATATTCCAATATGGTGATTTTCCGCGAGCCTCGGAAAGTTAATTCCGTAAATTTCACCGCTTTGAATTTAGTTTAATTCCATTTAGCCGTATACCACTTGCCGGCATTATCGTCGGGAAAGGGCCCCCGAAAGGTCGCAAATAATAGTTGCAGGAACGTCGAGGAAGCTATATTAATCTATTTAAATCGCTGTAGGTTGGTTTTGTTCGTCGTTTAATATTCGAAAAAAAATGTAGCCGGTCTCTGGCCAGCGTCCACGAGTTGAACAAATAGCGGGCCAGGCGTCCGACAAAAAGCACACACGTGGCCGCGCGATGGTCCGTTGCTCCGCCGCTGAAAACGCGTCACTTTCATTCGGATTTCCGTGGGTGTTTCGAGTCCGAAGAGTAATTGCAACGCGCCGACGTTGACCCTTTAACGGCGCTCTGCCCTACGCCGGGCTCGATAGTTTCCTATTCGCTTTAAAATCCCTTTCCCTCGCGTTCGCACGGTTTCAGCTCCCTTTCGCGCTTTGAAATTTTGTTTAGAGGCCGCTTGCCTCGTTCACTCCGGGTCGCTTAACGCGTTACAGCCCGGATTGCGTTATCGACGAGACGCGTGTTATTTCGTTTTCACTTTCCGTCCACCTCTGGACACCCGTTTCTACGCTTTTGTCCGGCGAAATAGTTCCCCGTTCCCCGTCCGTTTTTACGCGTTAACCGTTTATATTACCTTTACGCGTTCCACGCCCCCGTCGTCCTAAATTTCTATCGGTCCCCGCGACATTATTATTTCCCGCTTTTCAATTCGATTTCAATGCCCGATTCTTTTCCGAAAACAACGCCGATTTTCTTTTCGACGTGCCCCGGGCGAGTTTAAAGAGTTCGAATTCCCTAGTGCTACTTTTTTTTTTATTAGCTCGGGCGCACCGTTGTTTACATCATCGTGTTCGAACGTCTCGAGGATTAGAAATTAGCTTAAAGATCGAACGTGTAGGCGACTGTGTGAACGAGAGCGTCAACGTTGGACGTAATAAGATCCGTCACCGGTCCGGCTGGTAAATTTCATCAGCGTCCTCCTCGAAGATTTCCCGTTTCGCGAAAAACTCGAAAGTAAAAACAGACAAGCGAGGGCAGACAACGGACGACCGAGACGATCCTTCGGTTCCATTGACTTCGAACGCGATGCTTCGGGGCCCCCCACTTTTGCTTTGTACACGTGTATCTCTGCGTGGCCCCCTGGCCCCCTGGTCCCCTCGCCACCCGATTGTTGAACCACCCCTTTTTCCTTGGAAGGTTTTTCTGCGTGAGCCACCTTGTTGGTTGCTCGCCTGCCGGGCGGAGAATTTCCTCGATTCGTCTTATTGCGCGTCCGAAGAAAAGGACGGAACGACGAGAGGGTGGAAGAGGGGGTGGCGGCGGGGGGCTGGGACCGGAAACGAAGGAGCGAGCGTGACGGGCGGATCGAGGGGCGGCGTGCAGAGAGGGGTGAAACAGACCACCCTCGCTTCGGGGAACATAAAACTTAACAAACGATCAATTTTCTGTTCTTTGTTTCTTAGCAGGCTGGAACTACGGCATTTCGCCACTCTCTCTCCTCCCTCCTCGCCGAGTCTACCCTGGCATCCCCCGACAACCCCCGTCGGGTTGGTTCCACCCTTTCTTTTCCCTCTGGCTTCGGCGGGCAGCTTCGACCCTCGCCCTCTCACTTTCCCTGGCAATCGCTATCTTCTTCTTTTCTTCCCTCCCACTCTGTCCGCGAGGCTGTTTCCACCCCCTCCGTGAGACTGCCAGCGGCCACCGTCGTCTCCCCCCGCCCCACCTCCCTCCCTGACGCCCCCTTGGCCGCAACCCCTCCATGTTTCCCTTTTTGTATCTTCGTCTCGGCCGTGCGTCGAAACGAGCCGCGCAGAGGAGAGAGGCACTCTATCAAAGTAGAGTACGTTTGGCTTGGTTTATTTTTTACTTTGGGAGGGGTCCAAATTGTAAAATCAATACTTCCTCCTAAATTTAGAATGCCGCCACCGGGCGACGCCGACGCCGCTCGGCCTTTTTCCACCCGGTTCTTCCTTTCGGCCTCTACGGGGAATCCGCTCGCTTGCTCGCTCGCTCGCGACGCCACGCGGGAAAACCGATGAGCCGCCGCCGCCGCCACCACCGCGAAAGGGGGGTTGATCGCGAGACCTCGACGCCGCGTCGTCGCGCCGGGAAACAAAAGGCGAGTCGCGTCGCGACGCGCGTGGCTACCTGTGGCCGCTCCAACCGAATTCCAAACTCCTCTTCGCTCGACCGTTTCCACTCAAAATCATCCCTCCGGAACAGACATTTCTCCGTGTTTAAATAGGACATTTTTTCTACACAGAAACAAACCGTAGAGATTCGATATTAAAAAGTAAAGTTTGATTTTGCTACGTTACGCTGCACCGTGATTAATCGATCATTACACTTACATGGATTAAATTTATCCGCTCGATGCATGTACCACTTAGCAGAGGCGAACCACAGGTGGTAGGCGAACCGTACTTTGGGAAATCCCGCAATAAAGGGTTAAACCATCGACGCTAACTATCTAGGTTTTGGTTAAGGGCTGGTCGAGCCTCAAAATTTTAATTATCCGTCTCCCTCGAACCTCGCGTTCCCCAAAACAACTCTACCAATTTAAAATTTATTCAGTTCGTTCTGACTGAACATTTTCCCAAAATTAAATATCGAACATAATTCCAGAGTCATTGTTTCGAAGTCTACCTCGTTGATAAATTTTTTATTTTATATTTGGACCGACGGGGGACGGATACGGAGTAATTTATCTTGAAAAAAAATTTGCGATCGATCGGAGGGTATATTTTATGGTCGAGAAGCGATTAAAACGAATCGATAGGTTGGCATGCGCGGATTATACCGAGGGTGAGTCCGCGTTTCCCCGTAGCCGAAATCCTTAATTTTCTGTCGACTGGCTCTTCGAAACGCGTGGACGATCGCGATCGTGGAATCGCTCGGTTTCTGTTTATCAGGGCCGAAACAGTTTGTCGGCTAATGACTGCCGAGCACGGTCCAATTGTTGACAATAAACGTCTGACGTAATGGGTTAAATTGGGATCAAGAAACTCCAAATACAACGTGGCTTTCGTGCTCCGTCAGACGCGAAGCATAATCTTCGTTCGATGAACGCCCAGATTCCTAAGTGGATCGAGGCGTTCGAACGGCTGGAAGCCATTATCGTCTTTTCCCTTTGACATTTAAGGAAAGGGCTTCGAAACGAACGATCCGAATCTCTGTTAATCGATGTCGTGCTCCGTAGCCTCTAACGAGAATAAGAGTTAACCCTTGCAATTATTGCAACGAGCCCAGGTGCAGGCGCGAGGGCATCTTTCGGGACGCGTTAATTTTTCGACGGTATTCGAGGTCGTCAGGAACCTTTTGTCGCGCGATGGAAACGACAAAGAAACGACTTGATCCCACTACTCGTCGAGCGAGGAATTACAGACAGCTGCTTCCTCGTTTCTCCGCCACCTGTATCCAGGTGTGCTCGATGATCGTAGATGCGATCGCGCCACGAAACGAGGGGAAAATCGAAATAGTTTTTTTTTTTTCTGCCCGGCTGACCGTTGTCTAAAGATCGACAGTGGCCTGAATTAGGGGTGCACGCTGCCCCCGTTTATTTATTTGCCTACCAGCTGAGGAGCAACCCCACATAACCATTTTTACTTTTTTCACAACCCCTGTGTTCAGAATATATTTTTCGTCGTCAGCTTAAAATTAAGTCGATCAAAAATAGATTTGCAAAGAAATTGTTTTTTGCTGTGTAAGTGCAATTTATAAAAATAATACGTGAAATTTCAGGGCACGGTATAAATTTATATTCCAGCCTCTGTTTATAGATCCTCCTCGGTGACGTTTGATTCGAGGTTAAGCGAGCGCGTGTCCAGTTTTATCAAATAAAATTAACGAATCGGTTCAGACAATAATTCGTTGTTCGGTTACATGTTTCAACAGTTTAACGATAAATATTCGAATCTCCAGAGTATGTGTGCCGTCTAAATGCGAGAAAAAATTTTTTTCCTAGGTAGAAAACGTGAACGGGGTGGTGGGTAGGAGAACGACAGAGGGTGGACGGAAATATTCGTTCGGATTGAAATATAAACGACTGGGCGCAGGGGTGGTGCGATCAAAATGCAACGTCAGTCGTCGGGATACAATGTTGCGGCTTGTTTTATGACGCTATTGCGTTCGATTCCTTGTTCTTTGTTTTCGACACTGGCGGTGGGGGTTATATATCGATTGCTGTTCGGTGTGTAATGCTTTTGGGGTTGCTCCTGGCAGCTGAAGCGGCCTTTTTCGTTCAAATAAACCCAATTCGAGTACGGAGAACGCCGAGGCAGACAGTTTCTTCGGGCACTTCTGGCGCTGAAACGAATGAGAATTCGATAATATGTTGCTGGCTCGGTATAAATTCGATCGAGGGGTAAA